TGTTTCCGACTTGGGCCCAAGCAGTCTCCAAAAGACTCTATTAGAGCTGGCCTCAGTTGTAGGGCCAGGCCAAGAGACACGCAACTAACGTCTTAATAAACGAACTGCAGCAACAATCGCTGGGATTATCTCACAGCAATTTGTACAAATTTGATAGGGCTAATAAAAATGTTGAGCGGCTACCCGAGTGCAACACATGGCGCTGGTTGCGTAAAGTCTGGGAAGCAGCGCAGCCAGCGGCCGCACAGTGAGAACCAGCAGAGAGAAACCTTAACGATGTGAAGGCGACGGACGGCAGCAGGTTAAGTTATCAATTTGGATCGGAGCTCGCTGGCCGTTGGATTAATTAAAATGCATATTTCTGGCTCTATTGTTTGCAGGCGCAACGAAATTTCTAACTTATGCGACAGTTTTATTGGCCCACTCAAAGGCGGCAAGCCAGCGGCACAAAGGGGTTAACGCTAATTGCGCCTTTATGTTAAGCAGCAGCCGCCGCAGATCTACGCCTCTAGACTAGAGCAGCAGTTGATCTTACCACCGCAGCAGTCAAACCCGCTGGAAAACCAAAGAGGAAGTCACTCTCCACTCTACAGACTTTTGCTTTTCTTTTTTTCTTTTACTAGTTCCGCGTAGATTGCGAAGATTCGGCGAAGGAACTCACAAAATTAGCATTGCTTCCCACCCACGCGCTGACCAAGTTGTAAACCCCGAAAAAAAGAAAAAAAAATAGAAACAGAATCAACTCGCAGCGATTACAAAATGGAAGCGCATAAAAAAGAGCAACAACAGGCAGTAGAAGAAGCAGAGAAATGGCAATAAAAAAAAGTAAATCGTTCACTTTTTAACCCTTCGTCCGTTCGTCCTTCGAGGCGACTGTTCCACATCTTCTAATTTATGTCGCTGCGAGGTTTATGACTTTATTGTTTTACGAGCGTTAAAAAAGAGCAAGAAAGGAGGCAGCTAAAAAAAGGGTGCATCAGTTTTTTCTATTTTCTTTTTCTTTTTTTTTTTTAACCCCTTCGAAACAACAATTTGCAACAATTGTGCGGCAGCAACGGGTTAAGGCGCGTTTTTACCTAGCGCTAATACGCAGAAATGCATTTTATGCCGGGTTAACTTCTTTACAGTTATTTGCCTTTTCCGAAAAACTGAACTCTATTTAGATTTCTAGGTTTTCAGAGCAGCGCTCCGGCCTATTGATGGTTTTCTAATTTTTTTTTAGCTATTTTTTGCTGCATTTCCGGGAAGGTGAACTTGAGCCGTATTGCAGTTCCATAAAATATATATTTATGTATATATATATATATATATATCTGTATTTTTCATCGAAAAGGAAAAACTCTTTTGCTGCGTTTTGACTTTGCGTTTGTCGCACTTTGACTTTATGGCCAAAGCCTGGCCTTGCTGGCCGTGGCCCAAACGACATTTACATGCTTTGCAACTCCCTTCGGGCCTGGCCTGGCACGCCCGGTGGGACTGCTAGTTATGTGAACACATCCACAATCATTAATTGCAATGCATTTTTTCGGCCCAGTTCTATTTGTTCATGCAATTTGCTTTCATCGGCCGTCGAGGCGTGTCTAAAAAAGAAAAGGAAAATAAATAAATGGGACTCGGCCTCGGCCTCGAGCTCGGCTTCTTTGGTCTACCTTCTCCCTGCTCCCTTCTTAGTTTTTTTTTTTTTTGGAAAATTTGTGCGCAACTTAGGCGCGCATCATTTAACTTTGAGCAACGAGCAGAGTGGATTACACACATGACGGAGCAGCATCTTCAGTATCAAACACGCACACAAAGGCCGGCAACACAGGCAGAGAGCGACTGAGAGAGAGATGAACTGCGAGCGTAATCGAAACCCGTCAAAATGGCAAACACATCACAATGAAACGGCATTGCACCCAAGACACTATCGGACCAAGGACCAGCAAGGACGTCAGGGCCAACGACGGCGGCGGCATTCGCCTCCGAAGAAACTCCCTCCCTCCCTCTCGCCCTCTCCGTCTCTCTAAGCACATTACGTATTGCATTCGCAAACTCATTCGCATTTTGATTGTAATCGGAGCTAAACCCACACACACGCACACACACACACACACACACACACATAGATAAGGATCAGCTGCCTGGACGCTGTAGGTAAATGCGAACAGCAAAATCTTTACAATCAAACATATGTGTGTGCGTGTGTGTGTTACCTTGTTTACCTTGCCTAATGCGAGCTGACAGATTATTATTAGCGTAACATTAACGTCAAATTACGCAGCTATTTTGCGCACTTTATCTACAGCCTCTCCATCTGCATCTCAATCTGTGTGATATAGAGATATGTAATGTTTTGCTTTGTGCTCGAAACGAACGGCCTTTCATGTGTGGCACGGCACGTTGCAAGTCCAGTTGTTGCAGGTGCAGATCCTAATGTGTATTAACTGAACAGACAAAGCAGCTAAAGAGGCTCAAGCGAACTGCACTGTTTATATTGATCTCAAATATTTGTATATTTTTTAAGAAAAAAAAACCCAAAAATTCTCTGTTTATGGCTAACTAAGGTCTACAAAGCTATATAAAATATAAGCAGTTTACTTCTTGATTTCTATATGGAAGTTCATGGTCTTCGATTGCCAACAAAATCCTTAATTAATATCGAATTGGCAACAGCCTAGCTTTGCCAGCGCTGTGTGCATAATCCTATCAAATGCAGCTGCGTCCCAGGCTCGCATTGTTCCAAATGCTGACTAATTCTGGAAAGCACATTAAATAATTGTAACTACTTGCCACGGCGCGGCGGCGCACGCTCACACCTAGCAGTGAAGGGCGCCAGAGCGCAAGGGCGTAAGGGCGTTTTCCACCTGACGGAACTCCCACACGAAAACCGAAATGTCAACACAGCAGAGAAAAACTACAGCAGTGCGAGAGCTGCTAAGGAACGATGGGAGTGGGAGTGGGAGTGGGAGTGCACAAGGAGCAGCTTTAGTCATTATTTGCTTTGGCTGCGTGTTCCGGGTGCGAGCACAATGCGCGACAATAATTAAAAGATTTCTAGTGTCAACAATATAAATGGAATCAAAACATAGCAGACCAAAACTAAATGACACAAGGCGTTGGGCAAAGCGCGGGTACACTGTGTGGCGGAATGGAATGGGAATGGAAATAGGAAAGGGAATGGGCTGGGCATGAAATGCGCACAATGTTTGTTTATTGAGACGGCTTTGATTTGTGCCACGAGAGCTGAGCTGAGCCAAGCTGAACGGAGCTCAACTGAATTTGATGCCATCATGCTCGGGCCCCCCTTCTCCTCGACACAAAACCCAACCCGAACCCTTCAACCACGACAAGTGCGCGCGTGTTTGTAGAGCCGTTGTGTGCATAAGCAACGCCGATTATTGACACATCACCGGCTACGCGACGCGTTTGCCTGTGGAGGGTAAGATGGGGGGATACCGAAGGTGAACTCTCCAGCTGAACAACAAACACTTTGCGCGAAGAAGACAAATGCAAATCGAACTGCAGTTCACTTTAGCCAGTGCGAGTGCGAGCGTGTGTGTGTGCGTGCGTGTTTGTGCATGCTTGTGTGTTTTCCCAATTCCAAATTCGATTCCGTAGACCAAACCAACCCGCCCATCCCCTTGCCATGCGGTCGTGCGTGAAATTTAATCAAAGCAAAGCGAGCGCCTGCCTCCTTCCATAACCCGCTCTCAGCCCATCAGTGTGGCCAACAGATTTTGGTATCCCAAACTGAAGCAACCGGAAATGTTGCACATTTGTAACTGTAACTTGCTTCGGGTGTTGGCTCTACACAAAATGGGCAACAAGATAAAAGGAAGGAAAACGTTTTTTTTTTGCTTTCGTTTTTCGGTAACATGCGTAACGAATTTCGAACACCCTTTAAAGACTTTTATTAGCAAATTGCCACGCTCAATAATTTTATAAGCTGAAATTCAATGAGAAATGAGATTTTTTTTATATTACATTATATGTGTATGTGTGTATATGTATTTGACATCGACAGTTCACAAATATCCATGTATAGCCAATTAGTTGACATATTCTCTATGCAGATAGTTTGGTCAGTGTATAGACGATGGGCCAGGCAACTAGTGTACGTCAAAGTTTTACACACAAGTGCAAATTTTTGTCAATTGTTGTAAATGGAGTTTCCGTTTTCCTGCTTTCGACAAAGCGCAGTCTGTCTGTAGCAATTTGCTCAACAATTGGTTGGAGCGGTGGTAAGAAGCGATTTGTTGAATTTAGTTTGCAGTTTACTAAAGCCCAAGATTCAATTTGCGCGCACTTTCAACATTGCATGGCAATGTTTACAGCCGTACGCAGCCCTGGGCTTATATGCTTGTTTAGTAATTGCGTACGCCCTGGTCGAATGTAGAACACACATACATATACATCTACATATATGTATATATATTATTATGGTGAAGTAGAAACGAAAACAAAACGCAAACAGCAATAAGAACGAACATCAGGCGAGCTAAAGCGAACATGCGTTTATTTTTAAACCAGACGCGGCGCTCTCACTCTCTTTTTGTCCAGTATAAGCTTTGATATTGAGGCAGCTCTCTTACTCTCACTGCTGGTCGCTTTGTTCGTGCTTGGTTTTGAGAGCGTAGTTTGTTTTTATGAAAAGCTTCGTCACGTGGAGTAGCTGCTATCGATGTTGCTTGCTGTTGTCGCTATCGTTGTTTCGCCTTTAATATTCACTTTTATTTGCGGTCGGCATTCGCGTTGAGTCTCTTGCGCACAGTGGAACAAATTAATTTTCACATAATGTGGTATGTGAAATGGTTAAATGTCATCAATCTATTAGGTTTATGTTTAGAATACGTTTGACAAATTTCGTTAGTAATTTTTCATACGTATTAAGAGAATATTTTTTGCTACGAATCAATTTAAATCTGCATTGTTAACACTTAAATATGCATAAATTGATGTATAACTAAATTTGACATTTACTGTACAGATCAAACTACCAATGTATCAAAACTAGTACACTAATACTTATTTTGATTGTTATGTTGTAGTGACAGTGTGCCAGTGCACATGTTCCGAGTACAGGAGAGAGAATTTGTTACTCTCTTAGTTTCCTCGCTCTCTCCGCCGGTACTCAATTTTTGACGTTATTTCTATGTGGGACTGCGCTTTAAGAGCGTATGTAGATCCCAGTGGCGTTGTTGCTTGCTGCCGTTTCATCTGCTTGCCCCTTGCCAAGCGTGAGCACTTTGCGGTTAATCACGATGACGGGGGCGTTTGCGACGCCAGTTGCGGTTGTTGTGGCCTGTCAATCGCTGACTTTGCTTTGTATTCTGCTTTTGTTGATAATCGGGAGCGGCGACGCCGACGTCGCCGCGTAGTGTTCGCAATTTAAGTTTTTGGGGCCCGTTGGGCCAGCACTGTTGTCGACGTCACGTCAGTTCATTGCGTCGGCTTGTACAGCTTGCTAGCGCGTTTTTTTTTTCGTGTTCTCGCCAATTCTCAATTCTCTGTGTGTGCGTGTATGTGTGACTGTATTTATTGTGTGCTGGCGTTCTAGTGTATGTTTTGTGATATTCTTCTCTGTTACTGCTGTCGGTGCTTCTTCTTGCCAGTTTTTGTTGTTGACGTCGCCGCATTGTTTTTATTGCCGTTTCTGTCGTTGCCGTCGTGGCCGCCGCGCAGACCAAAACTTGATTGTGATATAATTTGTTAAGTATTTATTTATTTGTATTTGGCACAAGCGTGCCACGACGGACCCGTTGCTGCCCCAGTGCAATTGCATTAAAGCCGCAAGTTCCCGAGGCAGCCACAAAACGCTTGCAAACTCACAAACCTAAGCACCCGGGCGCTCTCTGTCTCACTCTCACTTGTCACTTGTCACTGGCCGCACGCTGTCTCGCTCACTCGCAATGGTCTACTCAACGAACATATTGCTGGGCATTGTGACCATACTAACCGCTGTGTTCATCTGGTCGCGTCGCACCTACGTCTATTGGCAGCGACGTCGCGTCAAGTTTGTGCAGCCAACGCATCTGCTGGGCAACCTGAAGAAGGTGCTCAAACTGGAGGAGTCGTTCGCCCTACAGCTGCGCCGCTTCTACTTTGACGAGCGTTTCCGCAACGAGCCCGTCGTGGGCATCTACCTTTTCCATCAGCCGGCGCTGCTCATACGCGACCTGCGGCTGGTGCGCACCGTTCTAGTCGAAGACTTTGTGAGCTTCTCCAATCGGTTTGCCAAATGTGACATGCGCCACGACAGAATGGGCTCCCTCAATCTATTCTTTGCCAGGCAGCCCGAATGGCGTGAAATACGCACTAGACTCTCGCCGGTCTTTACCGGCGCCAAGATCAAGCAAATGTTCTCGCTCATGGAGGAGGTAAGTCAACAACAAACCGCTGAGCAATCAAACTACACTGCGCAACAAAATTGCAGACTTCACTTTCACATGCAAATGTATGACTCGGGCAAAAGTTTTGCTATATGTATGTGAAAACAGATCTCAAATATCTCTGATTGTTTTGTTTTTTTATATTTTATTTTACTTGTTTTTACTGTTTTCGGCTGGCCAGTGTAAACGAGTGCAGTGTAAGCCTCTCGTGCGAGCAGCTGTTACCAAAGTTCATCATAAGTTTCTGAAAAGTTAGACATATGAGATAGAGCAACTGGTTTCATATTCACACACACACACACTCACACACACACATATATATATATATATATATATATATATATATATATATATATATATATATATATATATATATATATATATATATATATATATATTAGACTTTACACTTTCGGTAAAGTTCTATGGAATTTTTACGTTTCCATAGGTTAAACATGTCGACAAACGTAAATTGTTTATTAGCTTGATGATACAATGCACTTTACGTTTGTTGTTTTTTTATTGCTTTTTTCATTATCGGAGGTTGATAATATTGAGATATATTACATATGAATATATAAGCTTATACATGTGCAGTTGCTCACTAAATTTGTTGCACAGTGTAGAAAAAATCAATATAAAGCTTTGGCCCTGCTTGGAAAACTAATCACATTTTAATGATCCGCACTCTAATTTAGATTGGCTGCGATCTGGAGTGGTATTTGAAGCGTTTGATGCGTGATTTGCGACGCGGAGACGCGGCCAGAGGCGTCATCGTGAGCATCAAGGATGTGTGCGACCTGTACAATACGGACATGATTGCGAGCATTGCGTTTGGCCTGCGCTCCTATAGCTTGCGAAATACGCAATCTGAAATTGGCTCACATTGTCAGGACATATTCAAGCCGAACGTGCGTCGAATAATAGACTTCTTTGTGATATTCTTTCTGCCGAAGCTGGTGCCGCTGCTGCGGTCGAAGCTGTTTACGGAGCCGCATTCCGAGTTCCTGCGCCGTGTCATCCAGCTGGTGATCGAGGAGCGTGAACGGGGCGGCGATCTGCGCAATGATCTCATTGAAATGCTGCTAACGCTCAAAAAGGAGGCCGATCTACAGCAGGACAAGACGCACTTTACGCATCATCAAGACTTTCTGGCCGCCCAGGCGGCCAGCTTCGAGGTGGCCGGCATTGAGACATGCTCGTCCACCATGTCGTTCGCCCTCTACGAGCTGGCCAAACAGCCGCTGATGCAGGAGCGACTGCGACGCGAGGTCCGACATGCCTTTGCTCTGGCAGCGGCACATGGCGGCGGGCCAGGTCTCAGCTATGAGCTCATAGCTGGCATGCAGTATCTGGAAATGGTTGTGGAGGAGACGCTGCGCAAGTATCCAATTGTGCCGCTGCTGGAACGCGAGTGCGCGCCCATCAACAAGAAGCGCTTCTACTCACTGCGGCCGCATGCCGAGTGCTATGCCCGGCGCGGCATGCCCGTCTTTATATCCAATCTGGCCATACACCATGATCCGCAGGTAAGGCGTGCAGACCTCACCCCACAGTCGACTGCATATTAAAACGTTTGCCGTTATTGCTCTCATCGCAGTACTGGCCCGAGCCGGACCGTTTCGATCCGGAGCGCTTTAATGCCGAGAATAAATTAAAGCAAACGCCCATGTCGTATCTGCCCTTCGGCGCCGGACCACACAACTGTATTGGCATGCAAATCGGGATGCTGCAGATTAAGTTGGGACTCATCTATTTTCTGCGCCAGCATCGCGTCGAGTTCTGCGACAAGACCGTGGACCGCATCAGTTTCGATGCTAAGTTCGCTCTGCTCGCCAGCGAGCATAGCATTTACCTCAAAGTTGTTGACTGTTTATAGCACAAGGGAGCTGCACATGACCAGAGCGCATCAACAGCATCAGCACCAGCACCAGCACCAGCACCACCAACACCACCAACACCACCACCATGTCGTCACCATCAACAGTACCAAATTCAAATCCAAATCCATCAGCATCACAATATCGGATGCAGCCTACAGCTCATCTAAACGCCAGTTGCCACCCAATTCGGGTCGCATTGTATATACATAACTATTTGGTATGCCTCAAATAAACTTTGCTGCGCTCTATTATCATTATTTATATATATATATATGTGTGTATATATGTATATATATTTATATATTGTTGCTCTCTCTCCCTCTCTTTGTTTGTCTGATGCTACTTAATAATAGAGCGTTGCTATGTTTTTTTTATCTATATATATACTTCGTCGCGTCATTGGCCGATAGCTTATCAAATTATATTTTTTTTTTGTTTTTTTTTTTTGGTTAAACTTTGGCTCTGGCCAGGTGGCCTGATCGTTGCTATCGGTTGCCTCTTGGCTGGTGTCATTCGAGTTGGCAGCCACTTAATTCGTGCGAGGGTTGCTCAATGCCAATACCAGAACGAATAACATCATGTATATACAGCACACACACACACATATACATACATATATATGTATATTATTTACTTAAAGAAAACTTTATAGAATTTTAGATAAAGTAAATGTGCTTTTGCTTGGATCTATTGAACATGTTCTCAAGGCTGTTTTACGCTAAAATTCATTCAAGTTAAAAACTATTTTTTTTTATAAATTTAATAAACTGAAATGTAAAAATGTTGCGCCTAGAAAAAAAAGTATTTATTTACTTAAAAAAAAGAAAAAGAATTTAAGTAAAATAAGAAATTTACATTTGTATTTTTATATATATATATATATAGAATTTTATGAAAATATTGAAAGTAAGTGGTTTATATATCGTGTAACTGATGAAATATGAATGATTATAAATTCTGAAAAAGTTGGTTTATTTCTAGCGGCAGCATGGAGCGCGCAGCTGACGTGGCAGCATCGATATGCAAATACTCACACCCTTTGGCTGGGCACAAAGGGCTGTGGCCGCCGCTGGCTATGGCGATGGCGGTGAAAAACCAAAAGGTTTTCGTGATTTCCATGGAAAAATGCACTGATTTTTCTTAGCATTTAACGCACGATGCGGCAAAGGCGAACGAAAGGTTCAGCAAGCCTTTGCGCTGGCCTCAACTCTTTGGCTGGCCCAAACCTTTTGCTTACGGCCAGTTTTTATTAGACCGCGAAAAATCAACAGTGGCCAGGGTGGTCAGCCAGCCCGTCCGTCCGTCCGTCCGCCCGCCAGTAGTTGAAGTAGGCAAAGGATCTGCGCATGCCGCTTCTATGTTATTCTGTGTGTGTGCTAAAAGGGTTTACAACAATGTCATAAAGCAATGCGCATTCCTTTCCTGCCACACACACATGTATATATATATATATATATATATATATATATATATATATATATATTTATTTATGTTGTGTTCAGCTTTGTTGTGTGTATGTAAATTAAATAAAATTCACTTTTCACGTGAATGAAATGCGGCAAAGGCGAAAGAGTTGCTGCTGCTGCAAGCCTCCCGCTCCTGTGCCGCTGCTGCTGCTGCCTTCTGGGAATCATTTGCGCCTTTCGAAAAAGGATGCTGGCCAGCTAATTTACATAAATCTACGTAAACACACTTAGATGCCACAACACATGCAGCCAGTTAGAGCACTGGCCCAGTTGCTGCTTGTGGCAGGTGTGCGAGCGAGATGGCATGCTGGCTCGTTGGCTCGTTTGCTGACAGCAGCAACAGCTGTTGGCGCGCTAGCAGGTTGCTGCCAGGTCGTCTACATCTCTGTGTGCCTGTGCATGTGTGTGTGTGTGTGTGCGTGTATTAAGCCTTAATTAGACTCTGGCCGAAGTTGCAGCTCCCACGCACGTGTTAGCTACACTTGTTGTTGCTGTTGCTGCCGCTGCTGCTGCTTAGGGGTCTCGTTGCAGTTAAATTGCCCCTCAACCCGACCGGAGCTGCATGCACACACATGCTGATGCTTGACAGTTGCTGTTGTTACGGTTCACCATGACCAACGCCAACAATTACGTTGCCTGGTCGCCGCAATTCTATTGTCTTTCGATTTCCTGGCTGCGTTTTTATTGCTCATTTCCCACATGTTTTCGTTTTCGTTTTCGTTTTCGGACTCGGACTCGGACTCCCTTGGGCCAGGCGCTAGGCCCGGCTAAGCCCAATGACACTTTCGGTTAGTGTCTGAGACCGTGTAAACGTTTTGAATGCCAGCGCCTTTAACTTTAACAGCGGAACCATTTTAATGATCACAAATTGCCATTGAGCCGAGCGCAAGTTCAATCGTCGTTCAATCCACATGCAACATGCAACATGCCGCTTGGAGTGGGGGCAAGCGGATGTTGCCCTTTATCTTCACTCACTCAGCCAGCGTTTCGTCGTTTAGCAGTTGGCCATCCACAACTTGTTTATCGCTTCTGAGTGCCATCCTCCTGGGGCCCTAACGAACTAATGAAGCCTGTCAAAAATTCAATAAAAAATTATGCATTTTCCTACTCCGAGCATAGTTAAGTTATTAATGGGCCATTCCAGTGTCCAGTAACAGCTGTGCTTTCATTCCTCTAAGCGGCAGGTAAACACTTGCCACCTGCTGCCTCACGCGCTCGACTCGCTCTGATTCCACAAGTCTGGCAAGTGCAACTCAGCTATTTTCGTATTACGTCAATCGAATCAGCTTAGAAGCTATAACCTGATATTCCATTAAGGCCAAATTCACAGTTCAAATAGCTGTCTTGGTCACCTTAGTCGAACTGGCTTAAATAGAAACAGACGAAGGTAAAGTTTTGGTTTCAAGTTTTCCATGTTCTTCAGCTGGTTTCTATGCCCGTTCGTTAAGTGAAGAGGGCATATTGGTTTTATACTTTTTTATACCAAAATTATTCAATTTGAAATAAATATTCGTGCATGAGAGAGTGAGTGGATACAGAGAATGAGAGAATGTGAGGGAGAGAGGGAGACGGGGAGAGTGAGAGAGAGGGAGAGAAAAGAGGGAGTAAGATACAGACAGATAGAGAGGGTGAGATAGGGAAATAGAGGGAGAAAAGGTAGGGAGGGAGAGGGAGGGAGAGAGGGAGAGCAAAAGCGAGAGAGAGAGAAGGAGAGAGTTAGGCGGAGAGAAAGAGAGTGAGAGTGGGAAGGAGAGCGAGAGTGGGAAGGGGAGGGAGAGCAAGAGTGAGAGGGAGAGCAAGAGTGAGAGGGAGAGCAAGAGTGAGAGAGAGATACTCTCGTATAACACACGCCAGTAAAAATATGAAGTTCTCTCTAATTGAGGGGCGTGGCATATGTAGAATATTCAAGATTTTACAGTTAAAACACCTCAACGAAATTAGCTCACGGCAGACTATGTCTATCAACAATTCGAGCTACGAGGTCTGCTCAAAAAGTGTTTATTTAATTCATTCATGACTATCTACTTTGCTCCTTTCAAAGTGATCCTCATCACAGACTCGACACTTGCGAGTTTCTTCTCGTTCGCAAAGCACTTCGCAGCTTCTGCCCCAACGTCGTCTTTATCTGCTCCATCGTGGCGTAGCGTCCTGCTTTAATGAGTCTCTTCAGTGCAGTGGGAACATCTTTTTGAGCAGACCTCGCATAGATGGGAGGTCGAAAGAGCGTAGTTTCGAGTTGAGCTTCTCTCGAGGTAGATCTATAAAGTATATGCACCTGGGAACGCAACGAATCAGTTAACAATTGAGCGATTCTGAATAAGCTCAGCTGCTTTGTGATCGTGCAGAAGAGCAGCAAGAGTCAGCCTAATCTCAAATGGATATTTGGTGTTGGCTCACACAAATGAAGCTGAAAATGAAAATTACAAATAGATGCATTGATGGATGAACTCTAATTATGTGAGCTGTTTGATTTTACAGCAATTTGTCTCTCGATTGGCGGCTCTGAGTGGGGCAACAATGTGCGACAGCTGCGTTTCATGTGGTCGCATGTGGGGGCGCCACTTTGATGTGTGGATGCAGTGGCTCCCGTGCGACGCTGCGACTGGGCGCTGCCGTCAAAGATTTAGTGGCCAGATGATGTTTTTTACGAGTCTCATCCGCAGCGATTTGCACATAATGTGCAGCAGCAGCAATAATAATATCTAGAGGCGGGAGGCGGGAGGCTGGATGTTGGTATCTGTATCTGCATCTTATCTTTAACTGTGTGTAAGTAAATGGAGGTAAACGAACTCATCCGTCTGACATAATAAAACAGCACAAAGATCTTCTCAGATTTTTATGAATGAATGCTGAATCGTCTCATTCGCAATCTTCTTCTTCTTCTTCTTGCATTCATTGTCGTAATGCGCTTAGGACGGGTTGACGGATTCTTGTCGGCTTTGGGTGCGGGCGGCGCAATTGTGTGACGGATACAGATAAACAGCTATACAGATAAACAGATATAGATAGACATAGAACTCGAGCCGGAGACGCTGAGGAGGTCAAAGACGCATGTAAATGTAATTCAAGTAGCCGGGCGCTAGCTATCAGTGCGGCACAATCAGTGCCATTAATATGCGTATCTGTGAGAGGCTCTTGCTGCACTTCCGTTTCCCATTTTCTTTACCTGCCTCCGCGCTGTGACACAAAAAACGTATTAGCTGCGTTTTGGGAGTTACATCATCATCATCATCATCATCATCATCATCATCAGAGTCGTCCTCGTCCTCGTAGCTGCTCCCAAAGGAAGTTCCAATTTGATACGTAAATGAACCATGGCTCTGATGCGTCCATGAAGTGTCCTGATGTGGCTGACTACCCTGACTACCCCACCCACCCGTCCTCGAGCACCGTTTCAAGTAGTTTATTGTGTCTGCTCTTGGTGTTATTGTTGCTGTCTCGCTGCCCGACTGCCTGCACTGCTACTTTGCATTTTGGTCCACCCTAGGCCAAAGTTCGTCTGCTTCTTCTCACTTTTTATCTTTTGCTTCTTCTGCTTCTTGTTGTTATTGTGATTTCTGACATGGCGCTGACTGCTGCCTGTCAACTGAAATTATTATTTGATAGCCATTGCTGCGAGGGTTGCTACAAACGTCAGCCAACTGCTCTTTTCCTTTCTCCCAAAGCAACTGCCGTTTGTTGTTCTTTGTTGGGCCTTTTGATTGAGTCTGGAGTAATGTTGGACGTTATATAATATAACAAGCTGATTGAGCTCGTGCTAGCTAAGATTTTGATGAAAGAAAATAATTTAAAAAAATTTATTTTTTTAACAAATTTTTTAGACGACTAAAAAATTGAATATTTTATTTTTCTAATAGAAGAAGAAGTTAAGGTCTGAGGCCTGAGAAGATTAAGATTTAGTGAAGTATTTTTTGCCTCTTTATAGTCTTGGATATACAGCTGCATCCATCGATTCAGGCGTTAGAGAGCAGCACATCTCTGTGGGCTTGATTCTAGCGAGCTATCAGCAATATATATATAACAAAGTCAACTAATTGATATACTGATATATATATATATATATATATATATATATATATTATTTTTTTTTTTTTATTTTATTTTTTCTGATATATTTGTTACATCAAAATTACATTTCAGACAGCAGCAATGACGCTTTAAGGCTCTGCTCCAGGGCTCAAGCACCCTCAGCAGTTGCAGCATAATTTTTTATTCTCTAAGTTTCTATTTTTTTCCTACTCTAAGTCCAAATTTTAAATATTTTTTACGCTCTCCGTTAATGCTGAATATTTTCTATATCAATCGATATATAATTCTACAATTTTTTACCCTCGGGCTTATTTTTCTTGAAATAAAATTAAATTGTGCTCAGTTTGATTTCAGCAAATATTTAAAAAAATATTTTAAAAAAGGCCTACGGTAAATGCATGCCGTCTGGCTAAAGTATTTTAGTACACCTCGCTGAATTGTTATTTTTATATATTATTGTGCCGTGCTGCCCGCCCTCCAGTTGTGTGGGCCTTAAATCGTCTGTTTACATTAAATGGATAAATTATGCAATAGTTGATTTTTTCTCCTTGTAGTCATAAATTCGCTTTGATTTTGTTGCTCGATGCTGAAGTGGCAATTGTCAAATGCATAAAATATGTCCAAGCGAATGTACATATATTTGTTTTGACAGTAAAAGAGAGAGAGAGAGAGAGAGAGGGAGAGGGAGAGAAGGGGCTTTTTAATTCGGCTTTGTATGCATTTCATTTTGAGCGTTTCATGCGACGATTTTCCAAAATTTTCATGCTTTTCCCATTTATACCATAATGATAATGTCTGCTGTTTTGGGTCATTTACTGCGTCGACTTGCAACCCTCTGACGCTCGGCTCCGTGTCTTACCTATACGTGACAAAGAAAACCCACCCCGTGACTAAATATATAGCTATATATGTAAGTATTATATACACGTGAGACTAGAGATTGCTTTTTTTCTTATTTTTTTGATTCGATTGTGATCCGTTGCAATATGTTGTGCAACACTACTTAGTTATGTAAAGCGCCCATTTCTGTTTTGATAATACTTGATGAAAATTTCATTAAGAATATTTATATAAATCTATTAAATATCTTTAACATATCTTTTATTTATTTTTATTTTTACTTTGTAAAAAATCTATTTAAATATAAAGTTGTATAAAATTATATAAAAACAATATTTTCCATATCTTTTATTTATTTATTTATACTTACTTTCAATAATAAAGTCAACTTAAGTACACACACAATAATTATAAATTCATAAAAAACATACATTTCCTTTACTTTCATTTTTAAACATTCATTTTCAATAAAAAAAATAAAACAAAAAAAAATGTGTATATAAAATAAATTAATAAAAACTTTTGTCATATCTTTTATTAATTTTTATTTACTTTCATTCAAAATGTCCATTAAAAACCCGATAACAAATTTTTATAAAATGGATTATTTAAATATTTTCAATAAAAAAATTTATTTAATAAAAAAAAATTGTTAATTATTTAATACGAGTTTTTCCACATTTTTTATTTATTTTCATTTAATTTCAATATAAAAATATATTTAAAAAAAAAACAACAAGAATAATAAATATATTTTCTATATTTTTTATTAATTTAAAAACAAGTTAAAATTATTTCATAAAAATTTAAGCCAAGTCTTTTATTTCGTTTCCACAAAAAAAAACTATTTTGAAAATAAAATTACTTTACTTAATTTTTGAAAGCTAATTTTCGTTTTTAAGTAGGCCTTCGCAAAACTGACGTTTAAGGATTGAAAGGAAATCGAAGCTCCAGTTTTAGGAATTCATTACATTTCTAAACCTTCAAGTGTTCGGACACACGTAGTTTTAATATTATCAGTCTAATTTAGTAGTGTTTTTCGGCTAAAAATAAAACTTAATAAAACCAAAATTTCTTAGTTACAGCTATATATTATAGTAATATATTAACTTTTGTTATATATAAAAAAAAACACATGTTTAAAGTACAAGAAAATATTAAGTGAAATTTTGTGCACAAATGGCGTTACTGAGAAACAAGCCTTTTATGCTCAGGCAGTTTGTTTCGGTGAAGATATGTGAGTATATGGATAAGAAGAGCTTTGATCTGTAGGTGGGAAATGGCTGGAAAATGGTCCGTTTGTCTTCTAGGTTCTTCTGATGCGGTGTGGCATCGTAATAAGTCCTTTCACCACGTGTTACCCAAGTTTCCATTTCCGAGTGGTGAATCATTGTCGCGCCATCAGTTGGTCAAGGCAAGGCCACCGCCCATTCTGCCCGAGCTCCTGTCGAAATCGAAACGGTTGACTGCTTCGAGAAAGCGAGTCGACTTTTTACGCGATGACTTGGGGGAGGACGAGGAGACAGTTTCGGCCGAGAATGTATCGACCATGTTCGCTGAGAGCTCAGAAACTGCCAAGACGCCATCGATTATGCTAACAGACAAAGTCGATTGCAACTGGCAACTTAAGCCCCTATCGGATATGAAGGCTAGCAATACTCCGACTGATGCAGCAGATGGCGGTGCTGCCAGCTTAAACAGCAGTTCGTCAAGTCATAATGCCAAATGGGACCAGCAGCAGCAACTGCAACGGCACCAGCAGCAGCAGCAGCAGCAGCAGCAGCAGCAATTGCAGCAGCAGCAGCCGCAACAAATACACCAGCAACATCAGCAACAACAACAGCAGCAGCAGCAGCAGCAGCAGCAGCAACAGCCGCTTCAGCTGCAAAATACGCAGGATATGCAGCAGAAACAGTTGGAGGACAAGTCAAGCCCGAATCCACCACGAAAGCTGAATCCGGACACGTATTTTGAGAGAGTTTGTAAAATTCAAAATGAAAACGCGCAAAAGCTGAACGAAAACGATAGAAAAGTGAAGGTACATATTAAGAATGCGAAAATACATGAGCGGATACACAAGTTGATGCAGTTACAACAGCAGTTAAAGGAAACTGAGCCGATACCCTACACTCCAGCACAGAAGCAGAAAAGTAATCAGCTCGAACAGTCACGGCACACGCGATCCGATGTGGAGATCCTGGATAAAGTGCGACCCCAAAAGGCGAGCAAGTACACACGTCCCGTGTATGGTGCATACGCCAAGCACACGGAGTCGGAGCGCCAAGCATACGCGCCGGCGCACGGGGGCTTCGACAATGGGGATATACTTAACAAGGCGATGCCGCAAGGGAAAGCAATGCGTAAAAAGAAAGCTCTCTCCTTGCAGTCGAGCCAATCACAGAGGATCAATAGCGCGGAGTCTGCCATGTACAGGCTATGCAAAGGACTGCTCAGAAATGTTAACTCCAAATATTGACGCACGACGAACCGTTATTCTGCCCAGCTCCATTGGCAGCAGCAATCGTCACGTGGTCGAACAGATTTCATGTTTATGTCACTGTTAGATAACTTTTACTATAAGTAGCGTTTTCTGTAAACTCGTTTCTTGTCTGCAAATAACAGGTCTCTTAATCAGTTAACTTTTGCTTCTGTCTTTGCCTCTTTGATCGATCAGTGGAATGATACGGCTCCAAGTTTGGTGGGCTAGCCAGAGATCGATTATTATCGATATGGCAAAAATTAAATTTCTTATATAAGGACAGAGACGAAGCTGAAGAATATCAAATTTCCTGTGCCAAATATCAAGGAGAACTTCAATTGAGTTCGAAATTATTGAGCTCGCTTTATAGTTCAGTTTTCGCAATGTGTGTGAAATTAGTGCACAAGATCTATTTACCTGTGACACACCTTTGATTTGATCTGTTACATAGCAGCAAAGCAGCCTGAAGACGGGCTGCAAATAATGCGTAACTCGAATGATTGCAATACGAGTCTGAAGCTGGGCACACAGCCTGCACTTACGCAAGTATCAATGACAATGGAGAGAGAGAGAGGGGGGAGACGCTTGTGTGTTCTTTCTGCTGTTTTGGGAAAATCCTTCTGCCGTTTGACATGTCAACGCGCCAGATGACCTCGGCTAAGCCAAAGGCACAGGCAAAGGCAGCAACCCTTAACAAGGCCAATCCATTGGATCAGTAGCTAAAGGCAATAGCTAACAGCTCAATCACACACGCACACACACATAGAGAGAGAGAGAGAGAGAGAGGGGAAGAGCGAGTGATCGGGGCCATATAATTAGTGTAATTACCTCAACAGCCTACTAAATTCGAGAAAAATGCAAACAAAAATTAAGAAATCACAACATTTATATCCCCCTGTCAACGAGGCAATGAGGCAATGCTGCTGCTGCAACAAAAGGCACTGAAACTCTATGCCCAATCAATGGGTGTCTCTCTGTGTGTGTGTGTGTGTTGGGACCCTTTTATGGCCAACTGGCCGAACAGGCAGCAGCATCTAATGACAGGGTGGATTGCAATTTTTCGTTTTATAAACATTTTCGCTGCCCGGGCGAGAAATACGAAAAACATTTTTGCAGTTTGCTGCATTGTTAGCGACGAGGGCTGTCAAGATCCGTTATAAATTGCAGTGGCTGCTGCCACTTCCGCCTCAAGTCCCGGCTAATTGTGCCGCAGACATTTCGCATTCGCATGATTTGGCAAAAATTAAAAAAAAAAAAAAACGAAACTGTTGGAGAAAAGCCAACTCATTAGGCCATGTCTAACCAGAAATATGTTAGCCACACATTCCAGCGAAGACCACCAGAAACATAAATGCCAAAATGCCAAAATGCCAAAATGCTTATCATGTTCGGCCTGTTTATTAGGCCTTTTGTGTCGCCTGGTTACGCGCTTACACGGAATTCCGTCGGCGCGGCCTTTGATTGCCCTTTGGCAAACGAAAATATTTTGGCTACTGTTCGACGCAAACATAATTAACGCCTAATGATAATATTTTGGCCATTGCCTGCCAACAAGCACTAGGCCGGAACAAAGCGAAAATGCCGAACCTCTCGCTCAAGGGAATACACCTATTTTCCTTTTACTTTGGCTGCTGCTTCTTACTTTTCTCCTTCTTCTTTTCTGGTTTGTTTTTTAAGCAACTGCAAATTGTTTTGTCTCCTTGATTCCAGATTGATTAATAGAACGCAGTTTGTTGAAGACTCGGCTAAGTTCTATTGCTTCGACTTTTGATAGAGCTCATACTACAGTCTTTTCTAGATAGGCCCTAGAGCTAACTAACTTGAGATTAGTTCAGATCTTTGTGCATAGAAATTTATTCATTTTTTTCATTGATATTGATTTATTTTCTATCAACTTTAGTTCTTAAGTTCTTCAAGTTTTCAGCTGCCCTTGGTACTTGAATAGCTCAAAGAATCCTCGACTTTCTAAGCACTTGATATAGAAGTAATCTCATTTGGATTCAACATTCAGTCAGAACATATTACAACATGCAAGAACAAGAGAATCGTGTCTTTACTATGAGCACCATCAGATGATAGTAAAAACTAATAAATTGAGCAATTTTCCATGCGGAAAACTTATATGATGATCGATGCATTGGGAAGCTATTATATTTTTTTTTTATTTATTTTTTTTAATTGCTGTTTTTACTTGCAATCTGTTTTATACTAGACATTAAACGAATTTATTAACAAAAATATTACATAACCGAATGGCTTGGGCTCCAAAGAGCCCTACTTTACTACATATTTATCTATTTCTGTGGGGCAGGCTAAGGACATGAAGTATGTTATGAATTTCTATATAACATGATCTACTATATAATAGGATCTATCAAGGATCTGCTATGATCTTGTTTATGATATGATCTACTGTGTTATATGATTATCTATATTATATGATTTACTATATGCTATATCTCTTGTATAATATGATAATATGATCTACTATATAATATGATATGATATATGATATGATGTCCGAAATAATATAATCTCCCATAATCTACTAAATAATAATATGCTTTAAAATTTAGGTAACTGTGAAGGACACAAAACAAATATTCAAGAATAAAATATTATTAGCTACTTTTTGAGCTGACCTCGTGTATCGAACTTTCGTTCAATCTATAGAGCAGCTCTACACATTTAAGCCAGGGTCAAAGACTATTAAATCTGATGTCAATTCCTTCTGTAAATTCAACTTGAGTTTCTAGTTTAAAGCTAAAAAATATTAATTTATTAAACAAAATTACAAAAGTTAAAAAAATCTCAAATTTTTAAGTTAACTGAAAATTAAAAAAAAAAAATAATAAAATTCTAATTTTATTTAAGTGTTTGTCCTTTCAGGAACTAGAAACTTCTATTACAACAAAATGAAATGTTTCAAAATGTAAATTTTAGTAATTTTAAATGCCTTTTGGCTGCGCTACAATTTTTTAAAAAGCCAATTTTTGAAATTTAATCAGTGATTAGAAACAGCATTGGCACAAGTGTAAAATATCAATAATTTCGGAGCAGACACAAAATTTGCCAAACTTTTCGAACAGACCTCGGAATTGTGGCGAACCCGAAACCTAACCGAAAGACCGAAATTTGTTGCGTCTTCTCGAGCGATTTGCGAGTTACATAATCTGCGCGGCGATCCCTATCATAAATTTGCCATAAACATTTTTTGCCTTGCTTTTTTTTTAAGAAAACAAATCTCACAAACAATGCAACTCGAGCTAAAAAAAAGAAGAAGAAGAAGCTAAAAATTAAAAAATGATGCAAATGACGGTCGCAGGTTTTCCTTTTCTTTCCACTTTCCTTATTTTTGGTAGATTTTCTATTTATTTCAGTGTTTTTTTTGCGACTTTTTGGGCATTTTTTACGCAATTTTTTTCTTGATTTTTATGGCCCGAACGCGCTGCTCCTTTGTGCCAGCCCTTTGTGAGGCTGTCCTTTTTTGCGTTCAGTTTTATGAGCCACTGGAACTTCTAGTTGCGTGCAGTTTTCTATATGATTTTTTTTATGAATTTGTTACTTTTTTTTAGTTTTAGTTTTAGTTTTTTAGGTTGACACGCGGCGTTCGCCAGTTCGCGGAAGGAGCACGACTGTCCTTTATGGCTTACGTAATGTTGCGCTGCTGCCTGCAGGATCAGCGGCATTCGCTGTAACTATTATCGAGCTGCGCACGAGGCTGGAGGTAGAGACCGAGGCAGCAGCAGCAGCCGGAACAGCTGGACGTTGGCCAACACACACACGCACACACGCACACACATGCACACAGAGCTGCTCTACAATTGGCACTCCAGTTGTTGGCTTCCGGGGTGGCCTCAGCCTGAGCCGCAGGCTGCTGCTGCTGCTGCTGCTGCTCATCTATTGACTTTGTGTCAAATTGAGTTATTCAAATGTTAAAACACACACACACATGGGCACATTTTGATAATGCGCTCGGTACATAATTCTCAATTGATATCCTGTTGCGTTGTTTTTACAAAATATTTACCTTTCTCATAATTGAAGTGTCTGTGCGGAGTGACGTGCCATATCCTTTAGCAGCCTGGCGTGCAATTTTCGAGCCATTTGTGCAACGACTCCCTCGTCCTCTCCCTCTCTGTGTCTCTGTCTCGCTCTCTGCTCCTGCCTTTTCACGCTTCGCCGCACGCTGCTGCTGCCCCGCAGCACTGTGCCGAATGGCCTCCAGCATCTCGCACAGCGGACGCACTGCACCCTGCTGCCGCTGCTGCTGCTGCTGCTGCTGCTGCTGCTGATTATGTTGTCGCCGTTGAGTCGAGTGTGCTGCACTTGCACGGCAAGAGCTCCCGTCGTTTGACCCCGTAAATGAGAGACGCTTCTTGCCTTTGACTCAGCCATTCACAAGCCAAAAAAAAAAAAATTGGGAAAAAATAAAACAAAATGCAAAAAAAAAAACAAACAACAAAACATTGAAGAAGAGGAATCTGCACTAATTGTTCTCATTAGGTGTGCCCCGAAGTCGCTGGCAAATGAAGTCGTGAAGTTGCTTTGTCACCTGCCGTCGTCATCAGCGTCAATGGACCACAGGCCACTTGAGGGTCGCTGGCTGCACACATTGCCACAAAACCAACTGGGTGGCATGCAACAATGCTTGCCACACTTTGTCAACGATTTCATTTCTGGCAACTGCAAATATTCCATTTATTAAGACATCAATATAGCCAGCCAGCCAGATGCCCAAGCAGCCACTGAATGAATGCAGTTTCAAGGAAACAAAATTTAGAAATATATATATATATATATCTAGCTGAATATATATTTATCTAGCTTTGATTACAATGCAGTTACTACAGCTCAAAACTGTGAAAAAGTTAGGCAAGTTGAAGGCTCGCTCTGAGCTCTGTTCGTATCAGAGCGGATCCATTGATGGCTCTATTAAAGTCTATGGCCAACTATGACAATCTGTGAGTGAAATATAAATATTTTATAGAATCTTAGTTGCAATTAAAGCTAGTTAACTGCAGAGATGAAGCAAGTCGGCAGCAAAATTTCTTTTTTCAAACTTTTTTTTCAAGACTCACAAAAATAAATACATTATGAAACTTATATATTTATTTAATTAGATATTTATTACAATTAAATAATTCTTATCAAATTAAC